TTCTCACTCTCACCCACACACCCACATTCTCACTCCCACTATCGTCTTCCCACTCGGGTCCCTTTGCACTCCTCCCCATTGTTTTCCCTCACGCCGTCAACACTGTCCCCAATCGGCTGTTTTCCCACAGTCCGGGCTACATCATCCTCACATGTTTCATTGATAAAACCCTACGCTCGTTCTGTGGACCCCCACTGCTTACCCTACTGTGTGTAAACTACTTCTCAAATTTGTTATTTTTCTGTGAGTAAGTTTGTTCGGTGTGTTTATCGAGGCCTCAGGAAAGTAATTCATAATATATAATGTTACAGACTAAAGTGGTTGCGTTTCCCGCGAGTTGTATGCAAATGTCGTAAGTGAATTATAGCAGAAATCACTCGCGCAATTAAACTTCGTCTTTTCATCCCGCTAATCATTTATAGTTGTATTATTATTCGCGGAACGAAATACGTCGCGTCACAAAACGGCGAATGTAAAAATCAGGTTTCATTACCTCGCTTCAGTATTTTCGTTACTTTGATACGTGAGGACGACGTGAAGTGGGACGGAAGAAAGGATGAGGAGCATTTTTTCCGCAACGAAAAAAACAATTACGAAAGTTAGCGTAATACAATGATTGTGTGAAATACGTTGGGTCCCTTAATTTAACTTATGTTTTCGTTGTTTCGTTATGTTGCTGCGAAAGACCATGTTTAGAGGGACTTATCAATATCCTAATAATACACATTAAAACGTAGTCATTTCGTTGGGAAATAACAAATCTGCATATTTCAGTTACCATGGTATTACAAATGTATAGGTCTTACTAGGCGCTTTAGAGGCCGGCAAAATGCCTCGCAAAAGGAACGTAAAGTGTGCGTTTCGGCGACAAATTAAGCAGGCGTACAGGATTCCATTGCGTCCTTTACCGAAAACTGACTGAACATTTGATATAGACTAGTTATATAAGTACCTCAACAAGGTACAGTCACACATATTTCAGTTATTACTGGCAATTTCCTTTTGGAACACAAACTTTTCAATACATTGATTTAAACATATTTTATTTGCATCAAAATAAACATTGGGATTGGGCACAAGTTTTCTAACTTACATAAAGCCCTTTCCCAATAGAAATTTAACAAGAAGAGGTTACAAGATGACATATAAATACATCATATTTACAAAATAAACGAGAGAGAGAGAGAGAGAGAGAGAGAGAGAGAGAGAGAGACTTTGATTAAGCATATATTCTTTTAAAATGTGGACAATATTTTTTCGACGCCGACACCGACGGCAGAAGTTTACATTATACACTTTTCAAAAACTTTCATCTTGAACTATTGTCCATCACATCCCGTGCCTTGGTTTGCTTCCTCCTTGTCGTTCCATTCGTTCTTGAATATCCGTTTCTCTTCTGCCGTCAGCATCGAACAAGATTGAACACAAGAACATTTAATACAAAAATACAATCTGATTTTTATTATTACTATTCGTTTATCTATTGAAATAATAAAGATATATCAAAATCAATTAGAGTCTGAAATATTGCTGGGTGCTTTGACATATTTTAATGTTGTCTTCTAAAGATAAATTATTACTACATTATAAACATTAAAATGTAAACAAGAGACGCCGTACTAGTGATGACGGTGCGGTAGTTGCAGTACCTTTTATAATCTCAATCTGAATCCGAGCGTGGAGTGCGTAATTGATATATAAGTAGTGTATCCTGTCCAGTCATTCACGCAAGGGGTGTGTGCGCCACAGACCAGTCCGTATTGACAGTGGCCGACTGCAATCGCGATTCCAGCTTCTGTAACAAAGACAGACCAAAATCACTTTTCGCGTTGACCTTTGCGCGAAATATTTCGGCCGGAATACCCACTTGCTCGTATTACGTGTCTTGGTATGTTTTTATCTGTATCTTGAAATCCCCGACGAGAGTAGGAATAGTGTATTACGGGTTATCAATTTGAATGCGGGCGGTGGTTCTTTATATGGGTACTGTTTCCGGGTAAAAAGGGCCGTTTGATAATTTCATAATTACAATAACACCTGTAGTACAGAATTATGATATATCGAATAGAAATTGTAGAAAGTTGATATTAAAATGAATACACATTTCAGTACGTTTTATAATGAACTTGGCCCCTAGGTTAACTCAGTACATACATAGCACGTGAAATACCACATTTCACGAGACGCACGTCTATCACCTTCCTTCACGGGCGCTTCACATGTTATACAGGATGACGTCGTATCCAGGTATATGTTGATAGCGTTTCATTATCTTGTTCAAAATGGTAGTTAATCTGACTCTCAAAAATTTCATTTTATATTTTTAACCGTATACGTATGTAGATTTCGTGTGCGATATTCCGTATTCCTCAGTACGGTCATTGTGTCAATCGTGTTTTTGTTTTGGTTGCGCAGTGTTTATTTTTGTTCAACAGCTGGTGTTTCGTCATAATATAAACACGAGTTTGTCCTACAGAACCCCGAGAATCTTACCGGGATGATGATCAAACTGTTAACATACCAACAGGTTAGTTCAAATTCACACACCTGTCAGGGCTCGCGCCAATGAAATCTCCTATCGGGTAAACACCTGTATTAAAATAGCATCGCATTGCAGAGCTATGATAATTGCTCCGTCAACTTTACTCCCTTACCTGTGTATTCTTTGTGTATTGATGACTTCGTCGGACAGGTGTATGTACAAATATTTGGCAGCGTGCCACCATTGTATGTAAGTTTTTACGACACTTACTTTACTTAGGGGTACCCGTTTCTCTCGCGTGCCGACACGTGGATGGCTTGCTTCTGTTTGAAAAAAAACAACACCTTAAAATGAAGTGAGTTTAAGCAGTGTGGTGTACCTAGTGCACAAGCAGGTGACATTATCGTGGCTTATAACATCGTTACAGAATCTTGTTTTTTGAAAATAAGCAAAATAACATAGATATATTCCCTTGAATGTTTTCCTCTTTGTAATATAATCATTAAGAACTGAAACTTGCTGTGTCAAGCTTCAATATGTACAGTGAATACGTCTGTGTAACCATGACGCAGTAATTGTTACGTCATATATGTCATTATCTTGTAACTTCACTAATATATATAAATTTCAATAATATAGTACGCAAATGCAATAAAGTTGAATTGAATTAATATAAAATTATTTAATTTAATATGATTTAAATGGGGAAAAAACGATGGACACGAGCAAATATATGGCCTCTATATCCATATCAATTATGTTTTTCTCCTTTAGCTAATTCTAGTTTTTACATTGAAATGTCACGAAACCTATCAAAAGTGCTACTACTTGTGAGGAGGCTTGTCGTACAAAAAAACAAATGCCGTCGTCTGTGTGGGACCAAATATCATGATTTAAACATTGATAAATCTTTGTCCAAAAGTGCTAAATATCTCAATGCAGTATCCACTTGTTACGATCTCCTCTACACTCGATCAGCTGTTGACTGGAACGACTCGTAGTACTAGTGCTAGATTTCATTCATATTCTAATAGTAAGTTTTTAGTGGTCGCAACCGTCTGACATATATGATTGGCATGCTTCAGAATAGTATAATCCCACAAGCCCCGCCTGCTATGTTTCCCGCCGTTTGCCTGTTCACGACTCTTTCGTGTAGAAATATAGTTCGTACGATATGCACATCATATAACTTAATTTCTTTACGGGTGATATATCTATGAATTGGCTTTTTCAGAAAAATGACAAATAGGTAAAATTTAACAGTTGATTTTGAAATATAATTCCGACAAGGTAGATATGTGTAAGTTTGACCTTGGACTGTAGACGCTTGCGTATGAATACTAATTATGCATAAATGTGATCCGTCGCCGTTTATGAAGAGGTCGAACTTGGTGTCGTCGGACAGACTTGCGAACTAGTGTATCTGGAGCAGTCACGTTTTAACAGTTTTCCAGTTTTCTTATATGGAATATATTTTCAACAGAAAGGTACGTGTTCCATTGTAACATGAGACTTAATGTTTAATACACGTGATCATCAAACGAGTATTTTCCTGCGTTTTTTGATAGCCCACATGTGTGATCTGTATAAAATCCTAGTGGGTGTTGTACTGGATAGAAATGTCAAAACCATGTTTCATAGTTTTTCATACGAAATACTGTTTAACAACACTTGACACCGGTTTTCATTTTTGACTTGTACCATATTGACATGTATGGCATACGTTGGCTATTCTGAAATTATGCACTTGTTCCAATATCGATCAAATTCATTTAGCCGGTTCAGGTACATATCGGCCCATGCTTGTGCAACGTGGAAATCTTGAACAGTTGCCAAATAGGACACGCTCGGCTTGTACTTAGCTATTCCGTCTAAATGCGTAAAGTCGTACATGATTATACTGAAACATCATTTAACTGATTTGTTAGACACACAATTTGTTTTATAAAAATGAAGTTTGATTCAAAATGTGTTACATTGGCCGGCTAGACTGTTAAAGACATGCGAGTGGGCGGGGCTAACAGTTGCCCTGTGAAGGTCTAGGTCTGACAGAACTAAATATAGCATACTTGTGTGATAACTTAACACATTGCTTTATAGTTTTCAAACTTTAATATTTTATTTATTTTTTATCACAGGATGGTTGTACGGACGGCAAAAGCACATTCTCATCAGATGGAGAACGAGATGCACAAATGCCAGACTTGTGATAATGGCACTACACTCTGCATGAATATTTGGAATAAATTTGATCTTGGACCACCGACACCACCAGGATCGCCTCCTCATGAAACAATGAGTGATTTTCCTGAACTTGATGGATTTAACTTAAGTGACAATGATGTTGAATTCTTTGACAGTAGAGAAGAAGATGTTCTCGCGACAATGAAGCACATTTTTGCTGAAGGCACTCCGTTGAATTTGCAGTCAAAATTGATACAGGATTGTATGTGGTCTGGAAATTTAGCAAAGGGATATGTTGACCAGAAAAGTTGTAGTTCATCAACGGAAACAAATGCTGCTGCCGACTGTGTTGATCCAACATCAGTGTTTCCTTATCCTATGCATAACATTACTGACAAATACATGACAGAAACGAGGGTGGATAATCTGCAAGGCCTCGAGACCCCTTCTGATTCAGGTGTGTAAAGTACTAAAGTTAAAAAATGTATTACAATTTTTATGTTTAACCAAGTCTTTATTTTTTGTTAAATACAGTTAAAAAATGTATGTCAATAGTATTTGGGGGGGGGGGATCTTGAAATGTGAAATATTTTATCATAAGAATATTACACTGTACTAGTCTAGTAGCTTTTTTAAAATACAAAAATGCTTCAATGTTTAAAAAATTCTAATGATTTATTTTTATTTATTTTTTACAGAAGAAGAAATTGATGTTGTCACAGTCAGAGAACAGATGAGCGAAGACTTTGAGCCATCAAAAATCAGAAAGTCCACAACGATACCAGCTAGGTGTATAAAAACGGAACGTGAGGATAATGACTATGCAGTTGCAATAAAATCCCCTGTGAAAAGTTCTATAACACTGAAAGTGAAAGTAGACTGTCCTACAGATGTACACAACTACAGTCTTCCACATTCACACTCATTGAAACGTGTGAGATCCAGTCTGGGGTCGCCCTCAAACTCTATACCAAACTCTAAACGGATTAAACGTGAATTAAGTCAAATCAGTGTTCCAGAATTTCAAAAAACTCTGTGTCAAAAGCTTTCTCGGGCGGGAACAAGTAGTGGCTGTAGTAGTGCTTCATCCAGCAGGAGCAGTTCAGACTCTGAGGAGTGTTGTGAGGGGGGCAAACGGACTCAACATAATGTGTTAGAAAGGAAAAGGAGAAATGACTTGAAATATAGTTTCTTTACACTCCGTGACAGTGTTCCAGAACTTTCACAACAGGAAAGAGCTCCAAAAGTGCTTATATTGAAAAAGGCTGCAGATCACATACACAGACTCAATCATGAAAGCCTTAGGTTGGAGAAGGAAACCGACATTCTTCGTGCAAAAAATGACCAGTTGAGAAGAACTTTGAACAAACTTCAAGTTAGGGATTTTTAGGTGTGTGATACTAAATGGCAATTTGTGGTTATCCGTATGGTATTGAAATAGATACTGACAGGAACTCTTGTGTTCATTATCCAGGGATGTGTTCAATGTTTTTTATGTGTGTGTGATCAGCTCTCACTATATCACTTCAATATAAACAATCATGTGCTGTGTTACTATTTTTGCATACTCGTGTTATATTATCTATATATATATCTCAAGTTAGCTTCTGAAAGTGTTTTTTTCTCGTGTTATATATCAAATGTGTGCAAATTGTAGAGCTCTATAGCATTTGTCACGATTCTTCATTAGACAGGTTTGATTTACCATAGCAGTTTATACCTCAGGTCTTCAGTTTTGTGGTGATGCGTACACATAATCATTGGATGGACCATGTTGTTTACTTGTTATTAAATTATTTTCCAAAACATTTACGGGTGATCCAAGTCAATATAGTTTCGACTATAATGAAATTTGGTTATTGGGGAAGAAATTTATAACTGATTTTTAAAGAAAACTAATGTCTCGAAATGTTGAGTTAAATTCAATAACTGGTTTACAACAGGTTTAATGACAATCGTACTGGGAATTTTTGTAAAAGTACTGGTACAGATAAGTCATTTGAGGTATCTTTTAATATGGCTAGGTAGTTGTTTTGTTAAAAAAAATGTCCTTAATAATTCGTTTATATATACATATATATATCTATTGCAATACATGTTACAGTATACTGAGTTTTATAAGAGTTTTCACATTTTTGATTATTTTAGTTGGTCTGTTGGGCATTTCCAATGTAGAACAGAAAGTTCTACTGCCCAACTAAGGTTTCATAATTGTTATCGATAGAATATCATAAAATCCATTAATGTGATGTCACAATAAGGGTCCCAATCGAAAGTTTGGTGGTTGGAAAGTGTTATATCTTATTGTTATTTTACATGTCTGTGTGTTATTTGAGCTAGCTAAGTAACTTCTAGTAGATCAAGTTATAATGTACTGTAGGAAGTCGTAAGCAAGGATATAAGTTTACAAGTGACATCTCTTTTTGTTTTGTGTATTATAGTACAGTGAATGCTCAAATGTCAACTATTAAATCACAAAGGCAATACTACAACTGGTTTATGTATTTTAAGACGCTCACTGCCTGTGAATCCTGTGTTCAAAGTCAAACAATTAAATGTCGAACCAGAAATATTTTTAATGAAGACTGCCTTTTGCCTCCTAAATTTGTCGATGAAATTTGCTGGACATAAATGTGCATTTATTTGACATTTTCTAAAAACAGAAAATGACCACATACTGCCAATTTGACTTACCAATTGTTTATATTTTTTACTGTTTTATATGGAAACTCTTGAGTATTGAAGAGTGAAGGGGTTATTTTTCTTTACAGTTAGTTAGCTTTGCTATTTGTTACAGAAACAATCTGGTAATACCAGATGTTTCTTGCACTTTTTGTTCTAAAAAGTGATTGTTTTGTTGTCTGTTGTAAATATACACAATCATGATCGATAACTAAGAAAACCTTTGAAATTTGTGTTTTTGTGTGTGCAGGGGATCTGCATATATATATATATGTACTTGAAATATGAAAAAATACATTAACTGGTAGAAATTACCTTCAATGAAATTAAAAACTACAGATTATCTTCTATGATAGTGTTTTATCATTTATACAAACCAGAGTATTGGTGGTGTGTTACATATATACAATGATCTAAATGGGGAAGAGGTCACAGCCAATACACCAGGCTTGAGGAATGTAGGTCAGGCCTGTGCTATGACATTTTGGCGGGAAAAGGAAAAAGTGTATGACTAACCAGCAGCCTAGCCTCTATCAATGTATTACTATGTGTGGTATTCAGTGTAACTGTCAGTGTGGGTGAGCACGCAACAACAATAGGCATCGCTGGGGCCTATGTTTAAATAGTGTTACTACAGAGTGAGCAGCTATATGATAGGTCTGGTCGCTTCCTTGGATGCCAGGATTAGATGCTATATCGGTGAACGCGTTAAACGGTCATGTCATTTCACTATTGAACCAATTTGTACAGTCAGCAGGGAATATTTAGTAAAAGCAGAAAGAACTTCGACACTGAACTCTATCCTGTGTTTAAACATGCCTGTATAGAGTGGCCTACCAGTAACCTATAGGATCAAAACTAATGTTAGTTTGGAGAAGAAATTTAAACAAAACCTAAATCTTAAAATATATTGATCGCTTATCCCAAATTATTAGCCGAAATTACCCTGCAAGTGCTCAATTTAGGACTCGATAACATCTGTTCAAGAGATTACGTGACCCGTTTTATTTTGCATTCTATTTAATAGAACCGTGTGCCAGAAATATCAAATTTAACACACACCACATAAAAAGATCACTTAGCCCGGGCTATATCACGATTCCTGTGTGACCTTACACTATACTTTGGTGTTGATATCATATGTTGAGGGGTTCAAAAGACATGGTACACAAGCTTTTTCCTTAAAAAGTGAAGTATGACTTTGACCTTTAAAAATGGACCCATCACCGAACCTAACGTTGATGATACACTAGGCATTTTATCGTAAATATGAAATAGATCTGCTGAGGGGTTCCTTATGGCTGACAAAGCGATTAATTACCGTCTCCGATACCCCTTACGACCCACCTCAACTTGATGGAAGTATAAAAGTAAAAGTATCACCATATGAGCAGTTTACTTGGAAGAAATACTACATACATGCATACATTATTCAAACATCTGGCCAGTTCTGACTTACGAGACCCTATAAACCCTATTTTTATCATTAAAACAGGTTACATCTAATCTGTTCATAACAATTGTTAATTCATTATATTCCATAGTTATTGAAACATTGTCTCCGTCTATACATTGTATAAAGAATAGCTTCTAATTGACATTGTAAATATTCATTCATGAAAAATATGAGATTCGGTTTGGAATGAAATTTTAAGAAATGGATTAAAAAATAGACAATGTATTCCTGATAACATAAAAATAGCTGTCTCTGATACTAGTGCCCCTAACATCAACTTGTTAAAAGTAGCACCGTGTGGCCGGTCTACATTGATGAAATACTTTATGACTAGCCTGCGACATGACGTAAAACGCAAGGCCAAAATGTACCTGTTCCGTAACTAGGTTGGTGACATTTAAACTGAAATCAATAAAATGTTTTATTCGCGTTGTTATCCCTAATGTATATCCCTTAAATTGGTCATCTTTTCTCATTGATATTGCTCGGGATGAGTCCATTACAATAACGTTTTTGATGAAATGTAAATATACAATTCCAACAGCATGGTTACCGGCCGTGACAAAGAACATCCCTCGATTTCGACACGGGTTCGGACACTAGGGCTTCGTTTTATGGTGCGACTAGAGTTCTTTGAGATACATGAAATCTCCTTTGCAATGTAAATCGATTATGAGTACGTAATCCACAATGGAGATTACAATAAAAACAACCAAACACGACTTGGCAGCGATCAAGATAGTGCCCAATGTCATCCGGAATACCTACATTTAATGACATGAGTACCGAGACTTATCTACTACATGGCTTTATTGAATAATCTGATAATGACAAGGTCTCAAGGTTAGAATCTGTGCTTCCTTTATCGGCCCAAAAACTACAATGACATTCTTTGGTCTCCAAATTTACAACTTATACCGACAAACCAGCTCAGAATTTCTCAAGAAAACCTCTTTACTAGATAACCCTCCTAATAGCGCTAGAAGCCAGTCTATAAAAGTTGGCACTAAAATTGTTTGAATTGATTACTATTGTTGGTTTCGATGTATGTTTCCCAGAAATGGAAGTTAAGCATTTCTCATATGATTTACAGAGCCTGTATATTGGAGCCTATGTAAAAATATGGTTTATACAGGTTTTCGGAGAGTTAAGTTTATACAGGTTCCGAAAAAAAACTTTCTGATAAAATGACTACTGACAATGTTTCGATTAAAAAGAATTTCCAGCTTAGGGATGTGAAGTCGCGGAGGAAAATGTTCGTGTCCTTGATTGTATTCAATTCAATTCAATTCAAACTTTTATTCCTTAAGTTTGACAACTTATTGGATATCTATAATTTACAATAAATTACAAATGATATATACATATATGTTTGTGCAATCAACACTCATTATCACTCCCACATCATTATTGTGCATTCAACAATCATTAACGCTCTCTCATCATCATCGTTATCATCATCATCAACAACAACAACATGTAAGTTACATAACCGTACTGATACAAATTTATATAAATGCCAATAATACATACATAGACATTTATATAAATTAAATTGATATGTATGTTTTACGTCACTTGTGCCTTATTAGCCTCAAGCCTCAAATATATATCTAGCAAGTTTACGAAGATCGCTGATATTGTCAACACTTGGTAACTGTACAAGTTTATACATGGAAGGATTTCGCCAGTAATATGGTTTTATGAATTTTACTCTCAGAATATGATAATTTCTGCATATCAAAATAAAATGATATTTGTCTTCTATATCTGAATTGCAACTCATACAGTGTCTTTGTTCTCTCGTTGTGTTATTGTATCTACCAGTCTCAATAGCTAAATTATACTTTGTCAAATACTATTGCAGAATATGGTGATTTGCTACGTGCTCTCAGATATTGTTGACTTTGATCAAATATTCTTTGCTTTATTATATACAAAATGCTTTTATGGTGATATAAATAGTAATTTGTCCATACATCTGCGAATCCGACAGAAAAAAAGACAATGTTTGACATAAATAACCCAGTTAAAGCAATAACCTGTATTGCTACTACTTAAAAAGGAATACGCAGTTTGGAAAATACAATTTTTCGAATCCATTAGTTTTAACCAATATTTTATCATTTTGAATTTTCTTAAGTCGACTTATTTAACTTTTAAAATCTACGTACAAAATTGTAAGTGTAACCTCTCAATATCCGTACCTTTTGTAGATCCCCAAAATTCACATGCTTAATGCAATATACTGCAAACATACGTATCAAATAGATGCAATAACGTTGTACAGTTTAGGCTCAAGTTAGAAGAGCTTGAAAAAAGAGCATACATGGCCTTTCGTCCTTGGTCAGATAACTGTTTCTGTATATGATTAAATTTATTATTGAATTTAAGTTTTACTCCTAGGTAGCTATAAACATCTACAACTACCACCTCAACACCATTATACATCCATCTTCTCTGTCTCGTATACGACCTCCATTTCTAAATACAACTATTTTGGTTTTCTCAGTGTTAACTGTTAATTTCCATTTAGTAGAATACTCATTCAGATTATCTAAAAGACTCTGTAAACCTTCAATAGTTTCGGAAAACATTACGAAGTCACCCGCATACATTAACAGAAACAAACTTAATTCACCAAAGTCATAGTCTGTTGCACCATTTTCAATAAATGAGGTTTCAAAATCATTAACAAAAACTGAAAACAATAAAGGAGATAATATTTCCCCCTGCATTATTCCAACATTGTACTCAACATAATTAGAACATTTACCGTTAATTGATTCACACAAGATTTAATTGATTTGTAATATGACTTAATGACCGAAAACATTTTCCCTCGAATACCAAGCTTAGTCAGCTTACGCCATAAGCTTAATCTATCAACAAAATCAAACGCTTTGCGAAAGTCCACAAAGCAACAGAACACACGTTTCTTCGAAAATAAAGTTTTCGTTATAATAGAATGAATACCAAGTTCTGGACGAAATCCGGATTGTGCATCAGTGATAAGGTCATATTTACACGCATCTCAAATACGTGTATTTAGTACAGAGGTAAAAAGTTTACAAAGACAGCTAATTAAACTAATACCTCTAAAGTTATTAGGGTCATTTAAAACACCTTTCTTATGGACGGGAATAATTATGGCTGACGACCAATTAGAAGGAAAATAACCAGAGTCTAATATATAATTAAACAACGTAGATAAAGTTGGAAGAAGTAATTCCTCGCCAGCTTTTAAACATTCATTTAGCAAACCATCAGGTCCATGTGATTTACCACATTTCAATTTCCGAATAGCATTTTTGACTTCTTGTAACGAAATAGGAGCATCTTATTCCTCAAAAAACAGTGTCATTATCAGTAAGAATAAAGTCGTCATGATGGACTGGGTCACTATCTTGTTGTACGGAAGCCAGGTTTTTGAAATGATTGTACATTGATTGTACATTTGATTACCATTATAAGTAGGGTAAACGGGAGTGGCCAGGTAAGAGACTAGAAATTGGAATTTACAGGTAAATGTGGCCGCTCACGGGTGGGCGCGCACCTCGTACCTGTTATCACTGCACACTGCACATTTACTTCTCATGAACTACACTTCAGTTACCGATAGATTTAGAACCGCGATTACAAGTTTAACAACTGAAAAAAACACCACGAACTTAGATTCTAATTCCGTGGTAACACCTATGCCATGTGAAAATTGACCCGCCGATACCCAGGGGTGTTATCTCGGCTAGATAGTGCACGTGATAGCATCCTGCAAGCCATTGATAAATTGTAAATGACGTCTTACATATCTGGTCACAATTTCTGTCACGAAAACTATGGCAAGCTTGGGAAAATTTGAAAATCATGACAATGAGCACCGCTACCATTCCAGATAAACTATGTATTTAGGAGAAGTTCTATGATATTTCAAATATTATTCTCCGCTTCTCCGAACGCACAGCCGTGACATGTGTATATATATATATTGTAATTTATTTCTCTGCCTACAGTAGCGGGTCATGATCTGTAATTCAATTCTTTTGTCTGACTTTATTATTATTTATTACGATTTATAATGGACGCAAACCTATAGGTAGCCTCTATGTACATGTACATATCAGATACAGGGGCGTTTCTAGGATATTTGAAAGAGGGGATGTAGAATCAAACCTTTTTTTTGGACCTTTTTTTTTTGCTAAAAAGCATAAAATAATTGTGAAATGCACTAATGTAACGGTTCCTGACTTGGAGCATGTATATTTTATAGTTAAAGTGTCAGGGGGTTTATGTGTTTAATTACTGAATATGATAAAATGCCATATTCAATACAATATTAGAAGATTACGATATTTTTAATTTATTTTTTTTGAAAAGTGGGGGGGGGGGGGGGGGGGGGGCGTACGCCCATTACGCCCTCACACCTGGACCCGCCCCTGCAGATACATTTGAAAAGTAAAGTATACATTGATTGAGGTGCAAAATTTCAAATAATTAATTGTTCATTAGTATTACAGTATTACAATCAACTTGCATAAAAACTGCGTCCCTGAATGTTTTTATACGTTTTTAATAGTAAGGAAAAGGGCTTCGTATGCGTTGTTCAACTTAAAAAATGAATAGTTCGGCAGAAAATGTTAGCAGACAATGACGACAGTTCGGCAAAAGCGAATGCTCCCAATAGGTGGCGCTGTTTTATCCAAGATGGCAGCCCCCATCCGATTGCCCGTCGTGGTGGTTTTGGGATCAACAGGGACGGGGAAATCTAAGTTGGCACTTCAGTTAGGGAAGATTTTCAACGGAGAAATCATTAGCGCAGATTCCATGCAGGTTACTGATAGTTAATAAATATATTGACAATTGTTCAATGGCAAAATATTATCGTAAACACTTCGAGCTCTCCTGTTGCCTGTAGTAGACATAACTTTGCATTGGCATTAATGTTTACCAAGCACATGTATGTGTAGTCTAAAATTTCAAACAGAAAGTTAATTTGCAATCGCTTCCTCTACAATGACAACTGTATTATATGATCTTTTATCGGGTATAAGATATATATATTAGATTTATTTAAGTATCATTATCGGGTAGAAGATACATTTGATAAAAGGATTGCAGATTACATGATCTGGGCAGAATCTGACTAAATTACTTATGAGACCTATATTTATAGTACTATATATTTTTTATCGGGTATAAGATATATTTGATAAAAGAATTGCATTCATTCATTCATTCTTTAATTCCTCTTTAAAGAGATACAAATAATAAATGCAAAAAATAAGAGAGAGAAAATAGATATTTAGCACAGTCTCTGGTTTTGGTTAAAGATTCAATGCGTATGCGATCGCATAGCGATGTACGTTTTACATCCTGTCGTCTGTTGCTAGGTAATTATGTGACGCAGCTCTCCAGAACCGAGCTGCCATCATCCGAAACAGTTCGTCGTCCTCTGTACCAGGTGTTTATGTCCAAATAAAATTTGTACAAATTCTTCTTCTGTTATATTGTCCATAGTCAGGAATGTTTCTATGCCACATATATCTAGTAATTCCGCTCTGATAATGTCTCTTGTTGAGTGGGTGACGTCATACTGAGTTACGTAATGGTGAATAAGGTCAGTCAGAGTTTTCCCACATTTATTTCAATTTTGTTGTTCGGTTTGCGGGGCGGGGCGTAAGTAATCAATTTTGACACAAATTGAACACATGCTAAGTCTGCTGTAGTATCTGGTAGGGTCCATAGTATATGTGGGTATATTTGATTATGGATGTGTCAGAAACGGTCAAACTAGCGGTCGTTATTCATTCTTTCACTCCTGTCAGATCCTCTCTATATATATATACCTGTAACTGTGATTTAGATTCGGTACCAGTATACACCTCATTAGTGTACCTTCAGGGACTTTGATTGTTTAGTGCCTGTGCCCGGGGGGAGGGGGCACAGACCCGGGATATTTGCCCCAGAATGTAGCCGTACTCCAGATAACAGATTTCTGTTATTTCCTAATTAGTGTCACAAACTCAGGGTTATTGATAGTATATGTGTACAGTATATCTGGGAGTCGAATCAAGTTTGAACATGGAATTAGGCAACAACTTTTCATGTCATTTAGTATTTTGCCTTCGGATGATCAAAGACGTATATATTACGTAATATGTAATATATACATCTCTGGATTGATGTATAAGAAGCGTAACCTAATTCCTTTTATTTATCTATTTTAATTTTAAATTGGTTAATGGCAACCTACTCGCCTACCCTTTATAAGATTGGTCAGAGAACTATATCTGGAAAATATCTAGCTTGTCCAAAACAGACTATCTGTGAGTTAATCAAGTAATTGAAAGGACTTCGAATCATATACAATTCATATACTTTTTGAATTTCATAGTATTTGAGTATCTAATTTAACTGAAGGTTCTTCTCCAGCATTGTTATATTATTGATATTGTTATGTTTAACAAAATTGAATAACTATCATTTTTTTTTAATAAATATATATAAATAAATTGATCCTGCCCCGTTTCTGTCTGTTACTGTAAATCGTCGCCCGTTTCTGTACGTTCCTGTAAATAATCGCCCGTTCCTGCCCGATCCATGTCAATATAATATTCTTAATTTGTTGCAATTCCTTTATCGAATATATCTTATACACAATAATTTTTTTCTATAATAACACAAATACAGGTCTCATAATTATATTTATAACGACATAAATGTATAGATATAATTTATTTCGATTCTGCACCGATCATGTAATTGCAATCCTTTTACCAAATTTACCTTAAACCCGATAATGATAATTGAATATATATCTAATATATATATTTATTAAAATAGAAAATAATTAATATATTTCTGCGCGTTTCTGCCCGTTATTGCCCGTTTCTGCCCGTTCCTGCCCGTTTCTGTCCGTTCCTGCCCGTTTCAGTTCGTTTCTGCCTGTTACTGCCCATTTCAGTTCGTTTCTGCCCGTTCCTGCCCATTTCAGTTCGTTTCTGCCCGTTCCTGCGCGTTTCTGCCCGTTATTGCCTGTTTCTGCCCGTTCCTGCCCGTTTCTGCCCGTTCCTGCCCATTTCAGTTCGTTTCTGCCCGTTCCTGCCCGTTTCTGCCCGTTCCTGCCCATTTAAGTTCGCTTCTGCCCGTTCCTGCCCATTTCAGTTCGTTTCTGCCCGTTCCTGCCCGTTTCTGCCCATTTCTGTAAATTGTCTGACCGAATGTTTTGCATATATTATGCTAACAAATACAATGTAGCTAGATAATCTAATCTTATCCCATGCAAATACTGTAAGAATGAAGAAGGAAATTTGCAGAAAAACATATTCGGAGACCATACTGTTTTGTGTTGTCTGTAGAATAGCCTGCCAAATCAGATCAGTCAAACATTTTGGTTAAGCAGATTGACCAAATATTGCATGTAAATATCACTATTACCCTTTTTCATGCATATTTCTATTAAGCTGCATTTCTGCATATGTTTGAGTTAAATAGTGTTAACTTGTTTTTGCTTCACTTTCTTCAACATTCTAGCAGACACTAACTGTTTACTCTCAAAACTAAAAAAATGATGACGTCAAAAGCTTGCTGTATGTGTGCAGCGATGCGCTAAAGGTCAGGGCACAGAAACCGGCTCTAAAACAATATATGGACACATCACAATCTGATCATTATTAGATGAATAATTTGAATTCATTTGTTTATTTAAAAGTCTCTGATTCAAGGAATGACAAAAGAATACATTTTTTTTTAATAAAGATGCAGTTCAATCTAACTGCATGGTTTATATTTGCGACATAAATGCTTGAATTTGTAGTTTGATTTACCGAAAACGTAATAAAATTGTTTTCATGATATTATATTTAGGGGTGTCATTACATTTGCAACAGTCATTAGCCATAAGAATGGTCATGAAATTAAATAATTCTTTAAAAAGTTTTTTTCTGCATTTTTAGCTCACCTGGTCCGAAGGCCCATAGTGAGCTTATGCCGTGACGAAGCGTCCGTCGTCGTCAACCATTGCTTTAAAATCCATCTCCTCCTAAACGCCAAAGAGGATTTCAACCAAATTTAGTCTGAAGCATCCCTAGGGGAGGGCAATCATTTCTTAAATAAATGAGGTTGGTTCGACCCCTGAGGCCAGGGGGGTGGGGCCCTGAAGAGGAACTTAGCTAAATTTGCTTTAAAACGCATCTCCTGCTAAACACCAGAGAGGATTTCAACCAAATTTGCTCTGAAACTTAACTGTGGGAGGGCCATCATTTCTTAAATAAATGAGGTTGGTTCGACCCCTGGCCTCGACCCCGGAGGCCAGGGGGTCGGGGCCCTGAAGGGGAACTTAGCTAAATTTGCTTTAAAATGCATCTTCTCCTAAACGCCAGAGAAGATTTCAACCAAATTTGCTCTGAAACTTAACTGTGGGAGGGCAATCATTTCCCAAATAAATGAGACTGGTTCGACCCCTGGGGCTAGGAAGACCGGGCCCCAAAGAGGAAAATTATCTAATATTTTGCTTTAAGATGCTAATATCCCCTAATTGCCTGAGTGGATTGCACAAAATTTGGTCAAAAACATTATTGAGGAAGAACAAACATTTCTTAATTGAATGAGGTTGATTTGACCCTGCGATCCTAAGAAATGGTACAGCTAGATTATTAAATTCTATGGTGTAGTTTTCGTAAATTGTTAAAAATTGGTTTCTAGGTTTATAAAAGCTTATAGTTGAATGAAAATTAAAGTAATGTCTAATTTCACCCTGTAATATGACATATTACTTATTTCAAAATCTGTTAACATGGCAACTCAATGGAGGCCCCTGATTAGTTGAAAGTCAGATATCGTGGTCCCAGTTGGGTAAGAACATAGATCTTGTCTGGTTTTGAGGAAATTTCATATAAAGATGTACTAATGTATGCAGTTGTAATAACTTAAATATAAAACCAGAGGAGCAATACGTATACAGGTCTAATGGACCTCTTGTTATTTTATTCATGAACAAAAGATAATTGTCTTATTATATAATAAAATTACTATTTAATGTTACTATGCATTTGTTCTGTTACTGGACTGATAGTCCTCCCATTAGAATCTTGGATTCCATATTCCTAGGATTGTTGTTCACCACTGATGGGAACTTTGAAGTTTTTAGATGTTCCTATCATTTATGTCTCTAGAGAAAGACATAGAAATAATAACCTGTATAAGTTCTGAAACACCTTTGCAAATAATAATTCTAACAGAGAAGATCACAACATAAAAAATGAAGGAAATCAAAAAGCTAAATTAAAATAAACTGATTTGTTTCGAGTAGACTTAGACTGTTTTACATGTATATTGTGGTGTTTTCAGGTCTACAAGGGGCTGGATATCAGCACTAACAAAGTGACCACAGAAGAGTTAAGGCAATGTCCTCATCACATGATAGATTTCCTGAGCCCCCTGACCAGGAACTATACCGTGACCGACTACAGGGACGCTACTCTGCCAATTGTATCCCTTTTTACACAGAACAGCTTTCTGTCACATTGATTGAGATTGTAAAATAACCATAAAGAAATTTCATAAAAGGAAATTTCTAGTGACCATTTTGTATTCAATCCATTACTGTATTTTTGTTTTCAAAATGGTTGTAGCCAGTAAAATTACTTTTAAGATAAGTAAATATGGAATGCAAGATATACGATCGATCTCCACTGTTAGATAGGACACCAGATAAATGGACTTTTCTCTAATTAAAGGATGAGTGTCTATAAGGCCCTTTTTTGAGCCCCGGTATATTCAGATTTTCACCTCCTTATTTTGTTCAAAGATGTCTTATTGTATGACGTGCGGAAAAACTAAGGTAAAACTTTGATCGAAAGTGGGTTTCTGGGGGTACCAAAAGGGGTAGGGTAAATCACAAATATAGTTTGCTGTTTTCAAAATGAGCTTTAAAACCAAAATAAATACCATTTCTGGTTTTGAAAGCATGTATAAATTAGACAAGCATTTGTAACAGAATGAAAAATGACAGAAATTCAATCATCACTTAAAGATTGTTTATATAAAACGAAGGATTAAGTCAGGGGGTACTTTTCGGTCATTTTCAATTGAAAAGTAATTTGCTTTCTGAATAATTTCCTTTCTAATGGCATGTTTAATGTAATGTAATAAAAAGAGAAGAAAAGTAATTAAGAAATAATATGAATAGCAGCTAGCATTGAATGTAACAAATAAACCGTATGAAATCAACAAAAGGATTAACTGCTAATTGCAAGCATTAACTTGAACGAACAACTTAGTCTCTCTTTGCATTTTCAAAGCATAAACTATCTGACTTTTGGTTAGTGTAGGCATGTCAAACACCCTTCTTACTACTATAAACACTCTACTGAGCCTGTTTAATCTACATACATTCATATAGACTAGTATTGTCTGGAAATATTTGGTGTTAGGCAAGGAGATAGTCCTTGTACTCCAAATCACAGGAAAAGGTGTTTTTTAAGTAAAAAGGCATTGTGGGATAGGTATGAAACGTTCACAAATTAAATATCATCATATAACTAATATCCATGCCAAGTTACATGCTTATCCCCAAATGTCTTTTATGAACAATCGGTGGATAAACATTGGAAATAGGCAGAACATTTGATAAAACAATGAAATCGGTTAACTTTAACGATTAAAGCAGATACTTCCTTTTCTGCTTTATAGGAGACTTAAAATTACCAGCAAATCAAACTTCATATATTAAATCAATCATTTTACAGTAGTTGTGGTGGTAAATGCCATTTTTGATTTGTAAGTTAACTTTGAAAAGTAAAAAAACAAATCAGGACCTGGAACTCACTTCAGCCACAGATGTTGAGGAAATATGATATTATATATATAATATACAATACTAATAATTGATATCTTATACTTATACAGTTGTGGGACCGCACAATGCACTAAAAATAGTGTGCGCACATCATGCATACATCGTGCACACACTGTCTGCACATTGTCCACACATGGTGCACACAACTGTGCGCTTTTAACAATCGTTTGCATCGTTGTGCGCTTCTCTCTGCACAAATGTGATTTGGTACAATTGGTCGATCAATATTACGGAATGATAAAAAATCTGGAGCCCTCGTATGGAATAAGGAAATATGTATATATAAATTGCTCATCAAATTAATAAGGATTACGTATAATTTTACAATGCGTGTTACACAGCATTACAGTGACCGTTAGACTATCAAGAATGGGTTTAGCCTCCAGGTAACAGAACAGGTTAATAACATTTTTATGATTGACCAGAGTTTTACCTGACCCGTGCCTTACAAAGAGAGCTGATATGTGATACCGTATGACCGTTATGAAAGCACAACTGGTTGTTAAGTATTTATTTGCATTCGTTTTGGTCTATAGCACCCATTCACCTGGATTTTCACACCTTGGCGAGTTACGTAAGTGCCCCGGGTGTGAAAAACTACGGTCCAGGTACAGATACAAAGTGGCTATGTTTACCTGTATACATGACCGTGTCAATATGTGTATGTGCTATTTTACACGTGTTGATTTGGGTCCCTAAAAAACACTGAAAACACCATTTCTAAATTAAGAAAATATAGATAGAAAGATCGGCTGATATATGTAGCTAGACTAAAGAAATATACTTAAAAATTAAGTTTATATGTTTAAACACTTATTGTTAAGCCATTTCTCAATTTACACCAACCACGATTGTCATCGCACAACGTTCGTACATCGCCAGCACAAATGTGCGCAAGCAATAATCGTCCAGATTTCAATCGTTCGCACATCGTGCATACATCGTGCGCACATCGAGCGCACACCGCACATCGTGTAACGGTGTGCGTTCCCACAACTGTAGCATATAAAGGGTGTCCTGCACCTTTTAATTCACTTAAGATTGAGAGATATTTGAAATAGCCAAGTTTGATATGTGTCCAGAAGCCATAACTCGGTATTAAACAGAAGGAAAGTGTGTAGTAAATATGAGTGAAGTTGTAAATTTCAAGTCAAAATATTTATTAGAAAGGAAATTATTGAGAAATCAAAACCCTTTTCAATTGGAAATTACCTAAAACAACCCCCTGTCTTAATCCTTCGTTTTATATAAACAGTCTTTAAGTGACGATTGAATTTGTCATTTTTCATTCTGTTACATATGCTTGTCTAATTTATACATGCTTTCAAAACCAGAAATTGTATTAATCCTCCTTAATTAACAGGTGGATTTCATTGAAACTTTGCATAAATGATCAATATCCTATGTAGTTGTGCACCGGCATTTTATGTCATAAACAAATCATCAAGTGAATTGCCTTGACTCTTGTGTCAGATAGACCGCCTTCTGAACCAGGGGAAGCTGCCTATCATTGTTGGAGGCACAAGCTACTACATAGAGTCTCTGTTGTGGAACTTTATCATCACTAAGCAGGTAAAACTGTCTGTAAAAGGTGATTTTGCCGTAAACATTCATATTTTGAGCCTCCTTGTGTCATTTGTATTGTACTTGCATTAAGACTTCAAAAGGTATTGAAATAATTGTATTTTTATATATAAATACCATCTATAATCTCAAGGAAGCTCTTTGGAAAAGTATGCCCGACTGAAGCCAACTCTCAGCGTAAAAAAGGTAAATCTGTGTTAAAAGATAGGATCTTATTTGTCTTTGGGGATTGAAGAATTTGTTTAAAGGAGGATAGAATGTGGTGGAACTACTTTCTGCCAAACACAGGGCACTGAGGTAGCTAAGTTGGTGGAGTGTCTCTAGAAGCAGTCGGTACCTTAGGGACCTGACAATTTGTTACAGCTATATTTGGACCTAAACTAAGGTGTTAAGACTAATTTTACATGATTTATGGGAAGGTTTTTTGCAGTCATAGAGCCAATCTTTGTCTCGCCGCGACGGAGGAGCGGAAGCAAGACCTTATAAGGTGTTGCTTTTCCGGCGACGGCGTCAAACATTGCGTTTATAGCTCAACGTTAAGTTTTTGTTATATGCTTCTTAAACGGTTAATAATGGCATTATGGTGTTGAAATTTTGCATGAAGGTTCTTTTGGAGTCTACCTTTCATACTATGAAATCAAAGTTGGGATTTGTTTCATTTTTTCATTATTTTTTTTTACATATTTTGGACCAAAAACATAGAATTTGGGGTGATTTTAGATTAACTTCAAATTTCATACACACCTTCAGTATACACAGTACTTCAACATATGATATGGGATTTTTGCTCAAATGACCACAACAATTGTTTTGGCAGAAAACATAGATTTTGGGAGATTTTGAGAATTGGACATAACTTCTTAAATAATTGTCAGATTTGTTTCAAATTTCATACACACCTTCAGTATACACAGTACTTCAACAAATAATATGGGATTTTTGCTCAAATGACCACAACCATTTATTTTGGGTGTACAACTCATTGCGGGTCAGAAACAGAGATTTGAAATTCTTGGCTCAATTTGTATTGCGGGGCAGAAACAGAGATTTGAAGTGCTTGGCTCCATTTGTATTGCAGGTCATAAACAGAGATTTGAAATACTTGGCTCCATTTGTATTGTGGGTCAGAAAAAGAGATTTGAAATGCTTGTCTCCATTTGTATTGCGGGTCAGAAACAGCGATTTGAAATGCTTGGCGCCATTTGTATTGCAGGTCATAAACAGAGATTTGAAATACTTGGCTCCATTTGTATTGTGGGTCAGAAACAGAGATTTCAAATGCTCGGCTCCATTTGTATTGCGGGTCAGAAACAGAGATTTGATATGCTTGGCTCCATTTGAATTGCGGGTCAGAAACAGATTTGAAATGCTTGGCGCCATTTGTATTGCAGGTCATAAACAGAGATTTGAAATGCTCGGCTCCATTTGTATTACGGGTCAGAAACAGAGATTTCAAATGCTCGGCTCCATTTGTATTACGGGTCAGAAACAGAGATTTGATATGCTTGGCTCCATTTGTATTACGGGTCAGAAACAGAGATTTGATATGCTTGGCTCCATTTGGATTTTGGGTCAGAAAAAGAGATTTGAAATGCTTGTCTCCATTTGTATTGCGGGTCAGAAACAGAGATTTGAAATGCTTGGCTCCGTTTCTTGGGCAGAAAACTTGATTTTTGGAATTGGAGATAATTTATTTAGTAATTGTCAGATTTAGTTTGATTTTTATACACACCTTAAGTATTTAAAGTAATTAAACATATTTACTTTCAGAAACATTTCATTACGTTTATTTACCAGTGCATAATAGCTACACCCATGAATGCGTCTATCACAGTTTTCATGTATGCATGTGATAAAAGCGTAATATATGTACCGGTACCTCTTTAATTTTTTTGGGAATATGCTGTCTTGCTCATTAAATCCAGGGGTAAAATCTGTATTCGCAGCTTACCACATGGTTATGAAGATTCTCCTCTCTGACGGAATTTATTTGAAAATGCTATAAGCATAAATTGTGTGTGAAAACACAAAGCGGGTAACAGCGACGTCAGCCATGTGACGAAACCTGTGGTGTGGCTGGCTGGAAGCACAGCCATTTTTTCCCTTAAATAACCAGCCAATCAATACTACATGATAAGAATAATTATCCATCGTTCCAATGGTACAAAGCATTTTTTTGTACATCAACTAGAAATGTGGTTTTTGATACAAGAAAGTTAGGTGGGGATTGATTTTTGACATCGAGAGCTTTCCTCCCTTCTCATATAATATCATCATTTGGGATGGTTTTAACGTTTATTTACCAAAAACTTATCTAAAGCTCTAAAACAGGTAAAATTACTCTGTTAAGGTCCAAATATAGCTTTAACAAATTCTCAGGTCCCTGTTGTCGGTACTTTTGAAATCACCAGAACACCATTTCTGTATTGATTTATATTTTTGATGGTTTTTCCATTTTATTGATGAAAAAATTCCAAAGCCAATTTTTGGGTTATAAAAGAATAAATGACCAAATTAGTAGTTTGTTAGTCATCTAGACGTACTGATATCAATCATTAGTGGGTGAGGTAGAGGTGTGAAATAGGATCACACAACAAGATGTAACCAAAACACCTACTGTTTAGTAGAAGAAGATAGATATATCTTACAAGTACAGGGCAAGACAACAATCAACATAGACAATATAAGTGTAGGACTTATGATGACCTAACAGTAGTTTGTAAGGGCTGTCTAGTGATTACCGGTAGGCCAAGTTATCTACAGCAACTTAATAATTACATAAGTTCCTTAAGGCTAATTATCACAGGTGATAAGTAGACTGGCCGCCAGCTAGATCCTGTTACCCAGCTCAGTTAGGTAAATTCCTAATCCACAGGTGATAAGTAGCAGGGCAGAAATAGTTTTAGGGTAATGGAACACCACTGAATATTATGTAAGGTGTAAGGGGACAGGCCTGATCATAAACAAGGGCTAATTATAGCTAGTGACCTATTGCGTAACATCAATAGACTTAAATAAGTATCATTACACTGGGTGTGTGACCCTGGCTGTGTGGGTCATGGTCATTACAGTGTCCATGTGGAGAACCTAAACACTCTCATTGGGCTTTGAGTTGCAATCCTTATACAATGTGGGTGGCATTTTAGCAGGTAAATAATAATGATTTCTACAAGTAAATTAACAATGAATAATTGTTGTTATCACTTAAATAGTGGTTTTAGTGTTACATTACTATTGTGTCACACACTTTTAGTATGGAGACAGGGGGGTCAAGGTCATTAAGCAGAAACAGAGGGTCAAATTAAATGGTATGATGAAGGCTTTCCAGTAACTTTAATTTGGACAGGCCAAGTTACTTTTTTAACCAGCCAACTTTTGTAAAATAACATATGAAATATATAAGAAAAAGGTTATTTGAACAGGCCAAAATTGGAACTAAACCAGACATTTTGGCCTGCTGCCTGTCTTAATAAAGCCCTGACGATGAAGTTCTACATATCAAAACGTTTTTTAAACTTGATATTTAGGTGAAATGTCACTGATACCCTTATACTTTCATCCCAATATTTTTTTTAAATGTTAGTTACCTATTACTTGTACCTTCTCTGAAAATCCTCTCTGAAGTGAAATGTGCTAAAAAACTGAAACATTTTGAAATAAACTCCGCCCATTTCCTTTTATAGTCTGGGCACCAGTTTAAAGACTGGGTCAGGGTTGTAATACAGAGTAGCTTGCTACAGACTCACCAGTGATGTCTAAGCAGTATGTGTACTGGAGGAAACAAAGGGGTTTGAGCAATGCTTGGAATAACCAGTTGGGTTTCGTAATATTTTTGAACTTATTCACCCCTGAAGACATATTTGAACTCTTCCAATTCAATGGTTGGAATAGTGCGTTATGAAATTTCAGGGGTGAATGAGTTAAGGAAGATAAATACCATAATTATAATGTATAAAACAAACAAGGCAGGATTTTCCAATATAATATCAAAGGGAAGAGGAAATCTTCATGTTTTGGTGGGATTTAAGCTTACATAGGATAATTGGAATTGTTGTTTATTTCACAGAAAAGTACTGTGTTAATACACTAAATTCTCCCAAGCTGTTGTGGCTTCCCCACCTGAGATTAGTGTATTAGCTGACTTGGAGGGTGTAGAGTCCTTGGGTGTCCTAGGGCGTATCTGGCCTCACATCATTAAGATTGCACCCAGGGGAGCCCTGCCGTTCTGGTTGACTGGAAGACTTGCTGGAAGTGGGAAGCACCTGTTTGGAGCGGTTAATGGATTTATGGCCCAATATAGACTCACATGGCTGGCACTGATTTCCTACTGAAGTGTCTGTCTTGACAACTAGTCTAAACACTCTCTCACACTTCCCTACAGATGGAGCCACCTCACCGTCAGATTTATTATGCCCCC